GATTTATGGACATTTTGTCAAACACTTCTTATTCAAGTAGTAGTGGTGGCAAAAGTTTGGCTACAAAATGTAAACTCACTCATTACTTTGAAATTGGCTTGTTTTTTTTTTGAAATAATACCAGATCCCTGTAAATGACTTGGCTCTCACTGCAGTTTTAAGTCTCTTCTCGCTTCACTGACTATAAATTTCTGTGTTGAAAGAAATGTCCAAACTATTCTATATAAATATCAACCAATCAACTCTGTTTCTGAAATACTCTATCCAATCTTTATAGCATGGATGGGACCACCTATTTTCTACACTTTTCTTGAACACATCTCTTTTTCCCTATAACCAATTACAATTCATAGCTAACACACTCCTATCTTAACATATGGAGCAATATGATGTACGAGAATTCCAAAAGAATGATCAAGAAAGTTATGTACAAAATAGCTACCCATTTCTAGAACTTTCCTATAATTTTAGTTATGTACATTAGACCAGGTGTAAAACCTACAGCAGCTTCCAGAACCACAAATCTAGAAACAAAGGATTAGGACTAAATTTAAAAAAATATATAAACTACATACACTTTAGACTTCTCCAGGGTTTTCACTATCTTTAAGGGTAGGTTGGTGGTATACAAAAAGGTTAATACCCTTAGAACGTTAGGCAAAGTTTCAGCCATAAATGCCTTAAGGTATTCTGGGGGCAGACTCCTTGGAAATCATTTTAACCTGAGGGTAATGCAGAAAGTTAGTTGGGGCAGCAGTAATCAAGTGCAAAGAAGGCAATTTTCCTTATAGCGTAAACTTGCCAACAATTTTAACATTTTAAAGTACGATATATTTATGTGTATTTAGTCACGTGGGTTTTGAGGTAAGACAAAATTCCAAAAGACGTGATACAGAGAAAAGAATTAAGCAAAAACTTTTATTTGTTTTATTATTATTTAAATTTGTTTCTTTATTTCTGGCCTATCTTTCTCAAGACATGATTTTTCAAATTTGGGTACCAAACATTTTGCACCTCAAAATGGTAACCACTCCCAAATTTAGCCTGTATTACACCCTATTAACATCAAGATTATAAGAAACACCATTTCCTGTATTTTCTAGCTTCCTTTCAAACAACATTATGAACATAACTGACTGCATGAAATGGTAACACATTTCAATTTTACATTACATATATATTTATATGTTTTAGCGTTATTAGCACTAGAAGTGTAAATTCATTGTTTAACCCGTTTTGTATAAATACAGTGGCTTTAATACCACCGTTATTCTGATGATGCCTCTGAAGTTGACAGGTAAAACTAAAAACATAAATTTGAAAAAAAATTTAAAAAATTTGTGTGCATTACATATAGATTAGCAGTGATTGTATGACTGAAATATATGGTCACATGTTATACTATTTTTGCTTGCTTGAATGTGTTACAAATAACTACTAAACAATTTCAAAGCAATCTTTTTGAGACAGAGAGACTGAAAAAGGTTTCAGTTAAAGGTATGTAGATGACTGGTTGATATAGAAAAAAAAATCTAAAAAGGTGCTGGTTGATTTACCCGGCATCTAAAGAAAACCACGCTTCTTGAAAATAGAGCACATGTTTTAAAAAATAATGGCAAAATAGCTTATACATGTCTGGTGGTCACAAATATTTTACACTTTTGACCTTGTTCGTTAATAACAGAATAACAATAAGAAAATCATAACTTACAACAATTTATACTCCACAACAAAAGGATCTTAAGAAATTCATTATCTGTATTCCTGCAGATAAAAAAACCTGGTCTACTTCAACTAAATTAAGAAAGAACCATTTTATACAATTATAGAAATAGGTTTTGAAAAACCATGGAAAACATTTAGTTTTCCAACTATTATCTTTACTTGAAACCAAACATTTTATTTATTGTTCATGTCCTCAATTTATGAAAATACTGTTTGAAAATAAATGTGTATCTTTTTTTTGTATGTAAATGATTGATTGTGAAACCATTTGCACATTAAATGTAAAATTGTGTTATCACTTATAAAAATGTTATTTCTGAAACTAAAAGTATTTGCTTGTAAACAAGTATTTTCCTATTATGCAATCTAGATCCTCACAAGATGGCACAACTTCAATGATAATGTTAAAGCCCTTTCATCTTATTTTGAAAGTGTCAAAAATTGTTTACCTGATTGTATTGCAATAAAGTAGGCAGGTATAAAAGTTTGTATTTAACAACTTGTTTAGCTGATGATGTTGAATATTTGACATCCTAAACAAAGTCATGTAAAATGAGTAAATATCTCGCTCAAATACAAAGCACTGAATTGACGGTACACCATTAACACTTCTAGAGGAAACTTTTTTTGCCATGGGCATGTCAATAAAGATTAAGCCAAAAACTCAGGAAAAGCTCACTCCCTGGGTCTAGTTTTTGTGGGTAAGTTAGCAAACATTTCCAGGCTCAAAGTTGATGGATGTTTTCACTATTTTTGATGAAGTCCATTTCTATTTTGTTATATTCTGAAGGAGAACTGGAGGTTGTAAGCATACATTAAAGTGATGGATTTTGATCCTGTACAAACAAGAACTGAATTGAATCTGTTGAGATAGTTTATAAAACAGAACAAAGAAAAGAATGCCTAAGATCTTTTCTGAAAAATACATCTACTCTTGTTTTGCTGTGTAGCAAAATGTAGGTTTTTGGGCAGCATTAAGCAAAGTAATTACATCAATCTCACTGCAATGTACCATTATAAAAACATCATATAAAGTGCTAAGCCTTGCTTACAGTGAGCTGTGGATTGATAATCTTGAACTTAGAAGTGCCAGACATACTGTGTTACCATGTGAAAAGGTGTTTCAAACCACGTATAAAAAAATGACAGAAAACTCTCTTCTGGGATAGCATGACAACATCTTGGTACTTAAGTCTCAGGCTCAAGTTCAGTTAATGAAACTGTCAATGGCAGTTGTTTGTGATGATGTCACTGATCTCTCACCAAATAACGTTCTTATCTGAGTTTTGATTATACCATCGAAAACAGGTATTAACTAAGAATATTCAAAAGAACCATTTCTTTCTTCTTGTTTTTACTATAAAAACAATGGAATTTTGGAAAATATAACTTATTATTAAGTGTCATTTTACAGATTGCAGGGGAGGAGGGTGGATATTGCTCAGTAGTAATCACCTTAGCTAGTTAGAATTGTAAATGTAGAGGAGTAGCCCAATTAATTATTTTTATAGCCTAACAGAAGCTCAGATGTGGTTATTTTATATTATCATTTTTTTTTTTAATAAGGAGCAGCATTAATAAGTTGAATAACTTTGTCACAGTGCTTTTTACATCCTTATGTTTAATGCTTGGGCCTTGACTAACCTATTTGGGGTAAATTAATTTCCTTCTAACAATCACCTTAATTTAAAGTTGTAAGTAATTAATTTCCATGTTTTAATGAAATTCTGTATGGAAAAAAATTATATATAAATATTTTTCTTGAATACTAAAAAAATATTCATTGAAAAAAACTCAACTAGTCACAACAACCTAATTTTAGCCAAGTTAGTACCTTGACTTAATAAATGTGAATACTTAACATAATATACTGAAATTCAATCATAAGAATAATACGGATACAAAAAATCATACAAATAGGTATAAATACAATATTTCACAAAATAAACTTTTTAAATATTGAAATTTCCTTCATTAAGCCTGAATTAAATCCATTTTGGTAAAACACTATTCTCAAGTAAAAGTTGGCCAAATTACTGTAATAGCACTCAATAAGCTATAGAATGTTAACAGTGACATAACTCATATAAAATTAATAGTAGTTTAATAATCTTAACTACAATGTACATTTAGTTTTGGAAAGACCCATAGCAATTTTTTTTAAAAGGGTGTTTTTTTTTATCTTTCAACTTGTCTTTTTATCATTGACACACACTCAGCTTTAGATTTTGACAGGCATTGCTGTCAGCAGCAGTGTGCCATGTGATTTCAGTTTGAAAGAAAATATTAATTGCACATATGCAGTGTTCTATAACAAGCAGTTAAAGATAATATATAAAAAATCCTGAGATAAAAATAGTTTTCAGTTATGGGATATTTTAATGGGATGGTAGATTGCTCAAAACAAACATTCCCATTCTCTAGTTTATTTTCAAATACACAAAAAAACCACCATATTTTCAAATTTCAGTGCTAATCTAAGACTTGAATTTGGTAAACTTCATAAAGTTGCATTTAGTACATGTAGATGATGAATACTGCTAATTTGATTTACCTCTGGTGTGTCAGAATATTGTGTTTCAAACTGGACATGATGTACAGTCACAGAACTGTTAGTCTCTCTACCAGATGCACATACATGTATGTCAAAACACAACAATTACAGAATACAGTAAGACTAAAATAAAAACATGGTTCATATTGAATTGCTCAGATTAATTTCAAGCACTTTTTGTATGTTAAAATCTACATCAAAATCAATCAGATTCTACTGAAATTTTATAAAATTCCTATTTATTTGTTCAACATATGAATGTAGACTAAAAAAGAAAATAAATTTAATTTATTGCTCTCAACTCCACAACATGCATTAGTTAGATATATCAATATATTCTGCTATTATATTTTCATGTACTTTTGCAAAAAAAGGCCCCTTTTCATACACTTGAAATTGAGAATGGAATTTTTAGGACTTTGAAGGATGCATATGCACCCTGAAAAATCCAAACCTGAGATTATATATATATATATTTCAAAATATGACTCATTTAAATATTAACTAATTCAACATTTAACTAAAACAACAGCTCTACATACAGATGTGGTATCTGAATAATTATGTGCATTTAATATGCACGAAAAAGATAAGTATACTCAAACACAATAAAGGCCTACCTATATGAAAAAAAAATACAAAACCTACGTGACAGATGCAGACATCTGACACAAACATTTTGCTGATACCAAAAATATACTATGTACATATCTTCTCTTACTTTTGAAGTTCTCGAATCTTCATTTGTACAGGCACTGAGTTCAAGTTCAGAAGCTCCAGTGCTCTTGCCTGAAGTTCAGACTTTTTACCAGACTTATTTCGTCCTGCGAAACCCAACAGAACTTGAAGTTCAGAGAGTCTGAAGTTCATGATCATTTTCTGAAAGGTAAAAAAATATTCAAGTTACTCTGAAGTTCTCATTACATCCATATCAAAGTATTCCAGATAATAAATTTATTTAAATGTCTTTAGAATTTGTTATATGAAATTCTATGACAGTTGTGCTCCTTCTCTATCATAAACCTGATGGGTTAATCAAAACCTGACAAGACTTTCTTCAAGGAACAAGTTTTGTGACTTTTAAATAACTTGAAACTTGGCACATTACCACATATATATGTATACATATATATAAACAGTGTTCATTAGAGGAAGTGCATATAAAAAATCAAATATCTTAAATCTTAATTGGTGATAAACTGGAAGTGAGAACCTTGTGAATATCACACTTTCACATGAACATAAACTTTTTTATGAAAAATTATATAATGTTAACATGTTCAATTGTATATGTATGTATCTGCATTAAAAACAGAACAAATTCAGAGATCAACCTAAGTTACACAAATCAGAGAACACTGCATTTCAGAAACTGTGGATTAAAACATCATGAAGGGATACTAATGCATTGTACACAACAATTAAGATGTTTTACAGTCCAGATTTGTTTGCATTGTGTAATATGTAACACAAAATGGTTGTGAAAGATAGCTCCAGTTATAGCTTTTTTTTTATTAGTTACATTTAGGTTTTTCAATTACTCCATCATTGTAGAACAACTGCAACAGATTGCTATATAATGTACTTGTAAACAATTTGACAGTAATTTTCTTTAAAATAGTGAATAATAAAGTTAACATTTTCTTTACCTGAAAATGTATTCCCAATGGATACTCACCTCTTTACATAATTATACTACCTTCCCCATGTATCTGCCTTTGAGATTTACATCCCACTAGCCTTTAGGCAACTCCCACCTAATATCACGAGATTTCTTGTGATTAGTGTTACTGCATAATGATATTATGCAGAAAAAGTTCAACAATAGGAGAGTGACACTCCTCCTTGTGCCCTAATTCCCAATATGCTGTTGCACTCATGAATATTCATTCTTTGTTGAGGCAAGGAATACTAATGCACCAGAAGTGGGGAGAAAGGGTGAGAATATGTGTGAAGAGGTGAATATCTATCGGAAATATATTTTCAGGTAAGGAAAATGCTAAATTCTGAGATGATACACACCTCTTCACACAATTGAGCTAGAATCCCAAACTGACGTGGTGGAGGACCTTGTGCAAAGATTTACTTAGATGAGTTCCCTTCAGAAAGCACCCAAAGGAAACCCATTGAGTGTGATACCCAATAGCAGAGGCTCCATAGGGGCACACCCATGGAAGACCACATTTCATCTCTTTCAGGATATACTCTTCGACCAGAAAAAAGAGAGTATGAGGCAAATGAGTCCCATGTGTTTCAGGGATGAGCAGAATAAGAACATGGCTGTCCAAGTACTTGTACACGAGAGATCGGAGAGCCAATATGTGCAGTATGGTAGGGGGCTCATTCAGACTGTACCTCTATCATAAGACTATCTGATCAATACCTGCTGCAGGAGGAGGGCACATGTGTATAGTGTGCTCACCTTGACTTTACTGAGCAGATATAAGCTGCAGAAGGGAGGGCCCTGTTTATCATTGTGTGTTCACCTCGCTCAACTGGACATGTGATGTCAGCAGGAGAACACAAATGTATAATTTGATCACCTTGAGTCTACTGAACAGTTACAAGCTGAAGTAGGAGGGTAAAATCTTGTAATTTGCTTGCCTCAACCCTACTGTACAGACTCAGGCCACAACAAGTATAGTTGTATGAGGGGTGGTTTACACTATACTGACAGTGTCATCACCACCTCACTTCCTACTGATTGGCTCTCCTTGTCCTAGCCCCAGTAGTTAGGTTCCAATCAGTAAGGATTCTTGATGGTTCACCATCCCAGCAGCTGGTAAGTGGCAAGAGTCTTCTGTGCTTCACTCAAAGAGAAGACACCGGGATCCCTATCAGTCCTGTATCAGCTGTAAAGGTCTTTTTCATTCAAGGAACCAAACAAGACAAGCATTAACCATCCTCTCCAAGACCTTACAGAGACAGCTAATCAAAGCAATTGGACGATAATTAGAAGAAATCTTGGGATCTTTCTCAAGTTTAGAGGAAGGGAGGACAATAGCCTGGTGCCAAGCATCAGGAAAAACATTCTCCTGTCAGATCTTGTTAAAAACAACACGAAAATGGCAAGAGAGAGATGGAGTAGCATTTCATAGTGAACTTCATCAGGTCCAACCGATGTACTCCAGACCAATAAAGAGCAAGTTTGAGTTCCACCAGTGTAAAAGGGCAATTATAGTCATAGACACGATCACCCCGAAAGGAAAGAGATGATCACTTTGCCTGAGACTTGATGGCCAAGAAGGCAGGGGAAGAAACATAAGTGCTAGATGCACGAGAAAAGCTGTGGCCGAGAGCATCAGCAACTTCCTGGCCACTGGAGAGCAAGATGGAATGGGGATGAGAAGCATACCTCCCAGTGACTTTTCAATTCTTGTCCTATAAGGTTTTTCAACTGGTGGTAGAAGAGATGTCAGTAGTGAACTTAATACAAGACTCCTTTTGACTTTGGCGTCTGACCTGCCAAGTGTGGGCATGGGCCCGCTGATAAACTATGCAGTTAGAAAGAGAGGGATACCATCAGAAGGTATCCCAGGCCCATTTTTGAGCCTTCCGTGCCTCCTGGCAGGCAGGATTCCACCAGGGACGACAATACTGTGGAAAACAGTATTGAGGTCTTAGGAATAAAGTGAGCAACTGCCTGGACAATACAGTCAATCACTGCTACCATACACTTGTCGATTGGTGGCAGACAGACAATGGCAGAATCAAGTTCCGAGAGAGTGGTGAAAGAGGGACAGTTAGCCTGGTCCAACTTCCACTATGACACTCAGTTCAGGTGGCATCGATCACAGCCATTCTACCTCAAAATGATATGAAAATGATCACTGCCCCGCAGATCACCATCAACCCTCCAAGAAAAGTGGGAGAAAAGTGCATAAAAATAAGTATAAAACTAGTATTGAAGAGAAAGGTTGGGATCCTAGAGCATATGCTCTATGGAATGACCCCTCCCATCAATATCAGCACCACCCCAACTACAACCCAAAACCCAGCCATGAGGAACCAACATCCATGTGAGGGTAGGAAAGAGGATGACACAGATGGCAAGTCAACTAAAATCCAAAACCCAGCCATCATATTGACTTCACCTCAAGTTCATCTCATACTCCCCAATATATGAACAAGACACATGACAGGAATGTGAGAAATTGATTGACTGATCTAGGAACTTGACTTCTAGTTTCGTAAAGATGTCTTCCTAATATTAACCATCTCACTCAAAACCAAACTGACAGGAATCACACCAAGCACAATAACATCCACGGTATAATAAAATCATCGAAGGATAGTGTAAAAGGAAGAACCACATTAACCCTTTTGCGATGGGCTCTGTATAAAATACAGGAGTTCATATACATATTTGCATATGTTAAGTATTTATACTATAACTTTTAAAGCAGTGCATGTATCTTCAGAAAATTTGGTAGAGTAGAGATTTAGTAAAGATTACAGTCTTTTGCACACAAAAAATCATAATTTCTTGATGAAATATTTTTGCTGAAGATTTGTTTGCAAAAATATCTAATATATTTCGTTACTAGTCTGAGTGTGAAGTGATTTTTATGTTATGATTAAAAACTATTTTTCATCTCAAATATCTTTTTTGTGTAATCTCTAAAACATTTGTTTCCAGTAAAACTTTATATTTTGTCTGTTATTTTCTCTACCCTAACTATACGGGGTCTGTCAATTTGACCAACTTCGTAACCACCAATAAAAAAAAAAAGGAAATAAATATCAATTATGCTTTTTATAAGAATGATGACAAATTATAACATGAAAACACAAATTTTTATTCTAAATAAAATCTCATAACATTATACATTTATATATGTTTATTATTTTTATTATATTTACCTTCCAGTTTTGTGTGGCTAACATTATAGAAGTTGCGATGACGCAGACCACATACACTCACGTTACCGTATCCAATAATATAAAACCGGCCTTTACAAAGTGACCTGTCTTGGCTGTATTTTAGTGGATTAGTATTTTGTAAAATACAGTTATATTTCATTTATAATACATGATATATGTATATACATTATTACTATTTACAAATAAATTTTCAAAGTTATTTTTCTTAAAACATAGAACAGTAAATAAAGAAGTATAGCAAAATATTATTATTTCTAGTTATGAACTTTGTACTCGTTTGCTGCTTGCTGTCGGTTACTAAGCCTTATCAAATTTTGAACGTGGAGGATGTGAAACAAAATTTTTTTTAGGTTTTATATATACATTTGAAATAACCAAAAATCATAAATTACTACATAAATACCATAGAATTCCACCAGAATTTATCAAACTTAGTTACTAAGCTGTATTTGGGTCTAAAAAAATTATGAAATTTTGAGCAGACTAAAGACTCAACTTACCAGCTTGAAATCTTGAATCGAAAGAACGAGTTGATGTTTTAATACTTCAAAATGGCGAGAAAGCTACTAAGGGGAATTCTGAGCTTTAGATTGGTTATTCACATGTCATAGACATAAGTATGTGTACGTAAAGAAGTGCTTCCAAAATGGAAAGAGGTGGATGGGTCTACTGCATGTGCTTCAGTACATGAGCGATATTTCAGCAAATAGAAAAGATAGGAAGTTGACATCATAATACTTCAAAATGACCAAGAAAGCTACTAGGGGGAATTCTGAGCTTTCGATTGGTTATTCAAATGTCATAGACATAAGTACATATACATAAGGAAGTGTTTCCAAAAATGGAAAGAGGTGGACGGGGCTACTGCATGTGTTTCAGTTCATGAGTGATATCTCAGCAAATAGAAAAGATAGGAGGTTCTTATTTTATATTCTAGCTTGTCAATATCAGTAATTTGAGTTCCTAATTCATACAAAACTATACACTTTGTATTTGGACATCACAAACATATTATTCAAACCAATGCTACATTCAACATACCATGTGACACACAAAAATCGATATTTAGGTTTGTTCTATCAATACTTACTATCAAATTAGTAAATTGACTAATGTATAATACTAAAATTTGAATTACAATCTACAATTTAATACCAAACTTATTGTCATAGATTCATAAAATAGAAGTTCAATAAAATTTTGAATGCAAGTCAATAAATGCAATGACATGGCCTTTGATCCATGGCAAGTACTTTCATCGTGACCCACAACATGGATGGAGGAAAATAAAGAGTATAATTGAGTGAGTAAATAGACACACCTGTAATACATGTGTGAGGACTTATGTTGATTAGTTCGACTCTAAATCCAAAACTAGGAACCAACTTCCATGTGAGGGTTGGATGAGGAATTCGAATCGAAGGAGTGAACTTCAATTTTGATGGCTCACTCCAATTATACATAGTGGAGGACAACTCATCATCTACACCAGCTGAACACCCCCGCCCTACTCTCAAATGGATGGTTTATCATTATCACATTCAGGAGGATACCTCTATGGTTAACCACCCCAGTGGCTTGGAACTGAAAAATGGTAAGGACTCCCATACTCCACTGGAAGAAAAAAAAGAGGAGAAATTATAGTGGAGAGTCCAGAGGAATGAAAAAACCTGAGACAGAACACCACCACCATACTCTCAACTGAATAGTTTATCATTATATGTATATTTTATCATATAACATTCAGGAGGATACATCCATAGTTCACTACCCCAGCAGCTTGGAACTGGAAAATGGTAAGGTCTTGAGACAGTGCAATGGGTGACCACGAAAATCATATTTTAAAAAGGAGACCGCACCTGATTTATTCAATCTAAGGTATGGCAGGATAGGCAGCTATCTCTTTCTGTTTTACCCATGAAGTCCATGGGTGAGTACGGTCTGGGACAGCCATATTAACGAAGTGAAAATATTGCAAGGACAAACATAAAAGTGATCTTGTGGAACATCCCATCTCAGCATTGTGTGTTTAGTGGCCATGGAAATTATAATTGTCAAGTTATCATGGTCTTATAGTGTGGATTTGACAAGTTTAAATATACCTGGACAGGCACCCCTCACCACAGTCTCACTGAAGAGTGAAGGATGGTAACAGGTGGACAGCGGTACCCTGACAAGGAAGAAACAGCTACCCAAAGCAGAAAATGGGAGATGAACGTATGAGGTATAGTCTCAGTTCTCGACAGATGATATACCTTCAACAGGTTACAGGGTTGAGATGCATGGAAAAAGAAAGATGCATGATTGGAGTGAAAACACTAGGAATTAGTGACTGGAAGAAGGAGACGGAATAAAAAGCCAATCGAATCACAATCCGAATCCAATGGATAAGGGAATGAAACCGTGGGAAGTGGATTCAACAGAAAGAAGCCTTGAAAGCAATGAAGCAAACCACAACATGTACTCGACAGAGAAGGTCATATAAACCCACCCAAGAATAAAGGTGGAAGATGGAAAGAAATGAAAAAAGTTGAAAAGAATATACCACATGAACCCCCAAAATGTAGGTTAATACAATCGATCCAGAACAAAAAAGAACATATTGAGCCGAAACAGCAGAGAAAACTAGATCTTTGCCGGCCAGCAAGGATTGATCTGAAAGACCTGACCTGGAGTGACATGGATGAACAAACATTTTGGAAAGAAGACTGACGGAATGAGAAAAAATTAAAGTTATAATCTGAATCTAGTCCTGTCTGAACATGTTGACAGCCAGCGCATGTGGATGTTGAACTAGAGACCAAAAACAAAAGAGGTAACTTGGAATCGATAAGAGATTCAAAAACTTCACATGGAGGAGTGACCCACAGGAGGCAGAGCCATCAAATATTGGAGGATTGAGAGGTCATTACAATCAGATTACATCAAGGCTTTACAACAGATGGGCACTGCAGGTGCAGACAAGTACTCATCTTGGAAATTAAAAGAAAAACTTAATAATTACAATTCTGCACAACAGTGTCATTGCCTTTGTTAGTGTTTTCATAAATGTGATACAGTTTTTAGCATCAAACAAACGGGCTTTATAATCTGGTGGTTCTGAGTCTATCCTTCACCCATGTATGTAAATCCTTGGTAAACCTACCTGAAAGCACAACAGATAAAAACTCCAGGTTAACTAATTCACTACAATCTAGATTAAGGTTCACGTTAAAATAGTTTGGTCAAGTAATTCCTGATTTGAATAAGCAGCAAGTAAGGTGTAAGACACTCATAAACCATGCAAAAAAGTCACTGAAATGAAATGACTGGTAATTAATCAGTATATATATATAAATTCACCTGGCATTATCCTAATACATACACAAAAAACAGTTTCTTGAGTAAGATGTAATGTATCTTACACATACATTTATTTCTTCTACATTGTTAGTCTTCTAAACATTGAAATCTTTATCATATCACTGCAATATATATATGATTTATTTTGTCCTATAAAAAGCCAGTTTCCTTCAACCTTGGTATAGATATATGTTGAATAGTTCATTAAAACACCAATAATAAACCTTGTATGAGTTTACATGAAATGCTGGTTAGTTAAATACTGTTAAATAACAAAGGCCCTACTTCAAACTTCACACCAGTACACATTTTGTTAAAAAGAACTGACGATGTTACTACAGATTAAGTGATTTAGGATGCAGCTTTTTGGGTGAAATTTTTGACAAGGGTACCTGTAGATTATCCATGTTTAATAACATGTCAAAACATGTTAATTATTTCACAACCATTTTTCTGGAATTAGGAGATACTAGTACATCAGAAAAATACAGTTTTGCCTTGTTCTATCAAAGAGAAGCTTAAATGATTAAATATTATATATAGTGTAATGGTTTTCAAACAAGACCCAAAACACGAGCACTTTTGAATAGTTCACTTTAACATGCCTGGTCACTCTCTTGAAAACATTAAACTGATGGGTATGGAGACAAATTTTACATCTAACAGAAACAAGGAAATTAAAGAAGCTTACAAGATAGCACTATTAAATACCGTAATGCCAACTGGCATCAATCTCAATTGTTGACCTTCATATGTTTCTGAAAAGATTTTCAAAACTAAATTCATAATTAAACTTACTTTACCTTATTAGTATTATTCATGCTTTAATTTCTCTGTATTGGTATTATTTCCTATATATTGCATTGCATTATCATTTTCTCTATTTCCCACCACCTTTTGTAGATATTTTATTTTTAATTTTATCTTTATAAAAATTGGTTAACATCTCTTATAACTATTATCACACTTTTGTTGTTCTGTACACACCTCTTTGGCATAAAGTAAACCTGACACCAACGACTCTAGGTTATGGTTAGATAGTTCTTAAGACTAACTCATATTGGACATCTGGTTTACATGTCACTGACATCTGTGCCTATATATATTTTTCATTAGACTCATTAAACATAACCCTTCATTCTCCTAAAGAAGAACAGTGAACTATTTGAAAGTGCTAAGTTTTGGGTCTCATTTGAAAACCATTACAACATTTGTATGTGATTATGTGTGTTAACTTCTTAATCAGATATTATAAATAGTGTTAGGGTATATATATATAAAAAAAACATATCCAGAAATGGCATATTTCATCACAATGCCAGATTAATCATATGAATAATATATACTGTATCATACAATATTGAAAGCCATTATATAAGCTTCATTTTGATACCAATGATGTTACGATATCACAAAAACTGACAGAGTTATTGCAATTTTCATGTTTTTTTTTACAGCACTCCATAGCACATCTTTTTTACCTAGGGTACCTATGAATATCCATGCATAAATACATGTGAAAGGGGATTATTTTGTTTCACAAACATCCATTTCATACTTCTAACATACCAATACATTAAAAAATGTGGTTGTGTTTTGTTCTACCATGGGGAGTACCTCCAATTTCTAGGCCCCTTTTTGAAAATGTGCACAGCACTACATGGTTGAGGAATAAGATTTATAAAGTTATTACTGGTCTAGAATTCATATATTCAGATAAAATGTTCATAAAATAAAAACTCAATAGTAAGTGAAACTTGAGGACAAAAGTTTAAGATACAGAAAACTTGCATGGCTTCTGTAGAGTCAGAGTTACTTTTCTAACAGGATGGTGAAATGTAATTTTTATCATTTTTACACTTCAAAATCAGCCTATAAAATACCTTGCTTTAAGTGTTAGGTGTAGAAAAACTTAGAAGATGCAACAAAAAGTGATTTTAAGAGGAAAGTATGCAAATTCGATGACGAGGAACCCACTTTGAGACTAATAATG